TTCCGCTCCCAGTACCCCGGCCACGTCTGCTCCACCCACGGCCCCTCCATCCACGCCGCCCGCGGCTCCATCCTCGGACTCGCAGAGTCGCTGTCAAACCGCAGGAACTCCGTGCCGTCCACGTAGCCGACGGCGATGAACCGGGGATCCCCGCGGCCGGGCCGGGACCAGGTGGTCTCGAAATACCTCAGGGAGTGGGAGCCTGGGGACAGGGAGGGGCTGACACCCGGGCGACCCTCCTCCCGGCGCGGGTCCCGGGTCCGAGGGCGACGGGCCGGGAGGGGGCGGGGGCCCGGGAGGCGGAAAAGGGTCGAGACGGAGGGAGGAGGGGGCGGGAGACCCGAGTGGGCGACAGGAGTCGGCGACAGGAATGGGCGGGACCCGGGGAGGTGGGGACACATCTTCCCCGGGGTCCTGCGTCCCCACCGGGCGGTCCCCTCGCTTTCCCCTCGCGGAGGCCGCTCCCTCCCGACCCCGCACTCACCCGCCCGGGTCCCCGTCAGGCCCAGGGCCCCCGAGAGCAGCAGGAGGAGGAGGGTCCCGGGGCCCATGATGCGCGTCCCAAGGTCTGGAGAAGATCTGCGTGAGGGCGGCTCCTTGGGGACTTTATAACCTGAAAGGCGGTGACACTGATTGGCTTCTCTAGGACACGCAATGGGAGTGAGAACTGGGGCCCCGTCTTGAAGTTCCAGACAGGAGGACCCGACACAGGTTGTCAGAAGAAGGAGGTGGGGACTCCCCAACACTGAGCGTCCCGCCTGGGACTCCACCCTGTGGGACCTGGGACTGTGCCCTGACCCCTCCTCCAGCACCGAGCCTGTGTCCCGCTGTCTCCCTGAGTCCTGGCCCAGGGGCTGTCTGAGGAAACCAGGCTGAGCTCAGCCCCTTTTCTGCCTCTTCTCTCACCGAAATCCCTCTCCCTGAAATGGACGCCCTGCCTCCCACCCTTTACCTCTCCCCCTGGACCCTCCTGGGAGAAGACACCCCAGGGAACTTGATGCCTGAGAGGGAGCTCGCCCTGGGACTAGAGGAAGGACAGGGCTTTTCTCCTTAATCCTGGAGAAGCTGTGCCTGAAAACATCACATAGAGATTCTCACAGAGCCCAGTCTCCTTGTTGTTTATTAACTACAGGGGGTGACAACCTTGGAAATCCCTGATAACCACAGGAAGCTAATCTGTAAAATCGTGATTTGGGACCCTTGGTACAGAAATGTGTCTAAACAGCACGGCAGTCACACTCTCAAAGCGCCTAAATCTTACTTTCCCAGACGGTACACCTGAGACTCCAGATATTTCTATTGTAAAGTGATCTTCATTCCACAGCCCTGAGTTTGTCTGTTGAGTCCCAGCATCCTCAATACAGAGAAGCACATGGAAGCATTTGTTACTGTGTATTTCAACCCAGACCATGTACAGCCTCAAGTTGCAAGTGTTCAGTGCAGTTAAAATGTTCTTCCATCGCCTGTTTTTATTAATAATTCACATCTAAGCAGTGTGCATATTTTATTGGACATATTATTATTTCTAAATCGATTAGCATAAGGAGGCGATTAGTTTTTAGGCAGCTCCACAGAACAACCCGCTAGGCCCTAGATAATTTATTAAAGGTCTATGAAACATCATATTTCAATCTGAGAGTTCCTCCACTTTAGAATTCTTCACCTCTGCCTCTTCCCCTCCCTCCTGCTTCTCCAGCCCTTCTCCGCCTCTCTCACCCCTCAGGCCCTCTTCTCCCCTTAGTCCCCACCAACCCTCTCACTCCTGACTGTGGCACGAGTGTCACCCCCTCACCTGCCAGCCAAGGACTATTCTCCCCACAAGGATCAGCGCTCCTGCTAACGTGAGTCAGGATGTGTCATTTCTTCACTAAAAACACTCCAATGGCTCCATCTCACTCTGGGAAGCTTCTAGAATGTCAGGCACATGAGCACAGGGTCTATGGGCTGTTTAGGTCAAAGTTGCATCTGAGGCATATGAAGGCATTCCTGATAGATAGTGGGCATTAAAGTATTTCTTAAATGAATAAATGATGATTGTTTTAAAATTTATATCACATAAAATTATACCCTGAAAAATAAAAAAAAAGTTAGGAAATATTTTATTATACACTAGTATGTATATCAGTTCATAAATTCATCCCAGTGGAAAAAATGCTGTGTGGTTATTTGTTGCACAGTTGAGCCTGTGTGTTAGTTTTCTATTGCTGCGTAACAAATTACCACAACTTAGTGGCTCAAAACAACCCCACTTATTTGCTCCCAGTTCCTTAGTCAGAATCCACGTTCACTGTGGATGGGTTCTCTGGTCAGAGTGTCACAAAGCTGTGTGCTCATCCTGAGCTCAGGATCTTCCTCCAAGCTTATATGGAGATTGTTAGCAGAATTCAGTTGTAGGTCTGATGTCCCTGTTTCCTTGATAACTGACAGAGGGATGCTCCCAACACCTAGTGTCCACCAGCAGTCTTTGCCATGTACCCATCCATTTTCAAAGGCCCAAGTGGAGAAATGCCTCATTTGACTCCCTCTCACTTGGAATCTTTGGGGAAAGGGGAAACCCCAGTCAGTACTCACCTGATTAGGACAGTCCCATGGATAGTCCCCAGGTCTGAAGGTCAGCTGATGTGAGACCTTAGTTACATCTGCAGAATCCCTTCTCAGCACCTATATTAATGATGATTGAATAACTGGGGGAAGGTGAATATCCAGGGTGGCTATTGGGGACCATCATAGAATCAGCCTAGGATGGCCTGTTCTTCCCTTTGTGTTTATTGGGGTTGCAGTTGGAAATGAAGTTCAAGTAAATAGGTTGTGAATGATAAAATGCTTCTTGTCTATTAGCCATGGAGATTCTTAAATCTTAAAACCAAATGACATGTTTAATATCTTATAATTAATTTAAAGCAAATGAAACATACAATAATTCATTCTCTTTACACTGTATTAGTCATGTACTCCAGCATAACAAATTACCCAAAACTTAGCAGCAAATGTGTATTATCTCCCACAGTTTCCCAGGGTCAGGAATCCAGGAAAGGTTTTTCTGAGTACTTCTGGCTCAGGGCCTCTCTCAAGGTGTCAGTCAAGTTGTCAGCCAGGGCTGCATCATCTGAGGACTTGACTGGGGCTGGCGGACATGCATGAAACATGACTCATTCATAGGGCTGTTGGAAGGGGCCTCATTTCCTTCCATGGTCCCAGGAGGCCTCAGTTCCTAGCTCTGTGGCTACTTGGACTTGTCCGTAAGAACTATTCCTAGCAAATGACTAGGTAGTTGGCTTACCCTAGAGTAGTGATGAGCAAGAGAAAGAAAGAGAAACCAAGGGCCAGCCAAGTGGCGCGATGGTTAAGAACTGGCTTGGGATGCCAGAGGGCCCGGGTTCAGATCCCACATATGAGGGCCAGTTACACTGCCCTCCAAAAAAAAGAAAAAAAAAAAAGAAAGAGAAACCAAGATGGAGGCTGCAGTGAGTTTTATGTCCTGGACTCAGAGTCACACACCATGACATCAGCCTGATTGGAAGTGAGTCATGAAGTCCAGCCCACATTCAAGAGAAAGGGAATTACTCCACTTCTGGAAGGGAGGAGTGTCAAAGAACTTACATACATATAAAATTTTCAATTTGATATTGTTTCAGTATTTTATAAACCAAATGCTTCTTTGATTATTTTCTTTAATGCCTTAAATTTCACTTTTGGAGTGTAACAAAAGTTTGAGACAGACAAAAGATACAACAATATTTGTAAGTTTTTATTGAAGATTCTTTAAAAACAATGTTCCCTACAACAGCTGGCAACACAGTTGAGAACATACAGTAGCTAGATTACATAGTTTAAAGACTGAGCACCATAACAATAATGCCTTTTCAATAACTTGTTGGGGTCACCGCTCCTTAACAAAACTTAGACAAAAGGTTTTCATTCCAAAGACTTTATGAGCCAAGCCTGGCGACTGTCTCCCTCTGCAAGAGGAGAGAACAGCCCCCAAGTCTTGGCGGGTGAGGAATTTATAGCTGAATGAAGCTGGATACAGAAGCGAAAAAAAAAGCGGTTAGTGTGTAAAAGTAAAAAATGGTTAGTTTATCTTATTTTAACAAACTATAAAACATAGGTTATTTTTTAATGAGCCATAAAACATGACTCGCTTATCTTCTTAACAAGCTATAAAACATGTAGCTTATTTTTAATGAGCCATAAAGCATGGCTGGTTTAGTTTCTTCTAACGAGCTATAAAACATGTAGCTTATCTTCTACTTTCTTGACAGGACATTCTTTTATGTTTGGCTGAAGTAAGAGTTTTTAAATTCCTCTGGGCGGGAGTACTTTCCGAAATGAGCTTGCTTAGCCTAGCGTCTGGGCCTGGGTCTCTACAAACTGTCTTTGCTTTTTCTTAGAATTTGCAAATGTAGTTCATTAAGACTGTCAGAGGGATGGCTGAGTGGCGCGGTGGTTAAGAGTTGGTTTTGGACGCCAGCTCTGAGCAGCAGGGCCTCAGTTCGGATCCCACATGTGAGCCAGTGACACTGCCCTCTACAGCTAAGATGGTGAACAACAGCTCAACCTGGAGCTGGGCTTCCCTGAGTCGCCGCAATGGCGGAAGCTGCAGTGAAGCTGCAGTGGGCTGCCATAAGCAACTGTGAGTGTCTGGCAGCCGGCGTGAGCAGCCGGTAGCCGGCGTGAGCTGCCAAGAGCTGTGGTGAGTGGCTGTCCAGTGGCCGGCAACCAATCTGCCTCACCCAGGAAGAGCGCAATGACAATACCAACATGGGTCAGTGAAGCGACGTCCTCCACAACTAGACTGAAGAATAAAAGAACAGAAACTTGTCTGTTCCCCTTCCCCAATTCCCCAATGCTGTTTCCCTCCCCCAATTCCGCAATAAAATCTTTTAAAAAAAAGCAAAGTGTCAAATATTGGCTACAATGACCATTTTCTTACTCAACATCATCTTCAAAAATATTTGCCTAATGAAATCACTTTTCAAAATGTTAGAAAATGTGAATCTCATGCCTCAGTCTATACACCTAGCTTGGCATCCTGATGACAATCTTGGTGAGATGCAGTGGGCAGCGATGATTAACTCTGTTGCCACACAGCTGTCCAGCTGTCTGTCCCCCTGCGCTTAACCTTAAACCGACCCTTTTAAGGACACTGCTCATACACCTTGCGTCTCCCTGTTTGGCTCCAAAGGATGGCCGGTTAGTCAATGAAGGGTAAGATTCCTTGAGGAAGGAAAAACCTAAGCCAGGCACAGTCGCATGGATGCCATCAGGAGAAATCTCAGGGCTGATGGAAGCGGGCATGAGCCCTCACCCACCCCACAAAGAGACTGGAGGTCTTCTGCCCTAGTAGCTACATTCCTTCCCTCAACCTGCTTGGGAAGTGACCTAATGGTGTGATAGTATCTGTCCTCAGCATAATAATCTTATCTTCCTGGGGTCTATGCACATAGGGTGTGTGAAGGCAGAGCATCTGTCTAGACTCTCGGTAATAGCAGCTTGCAGGCATGGGTAATCTGGCTTGCGCAAGTTCTCGGGAATGAGACTCACAGACTGTGGAGAGAACAATGCTACTTCCGGGTGGGTGAAGA